GTGGAGGGGGAGGGATATGCACAAGATCAACAACATGTGTTGGTGATGACAATATGGAAATTTTGGGAGGTTCTTGCTCACTTCTTCCAGAATCCGTATGTTAACTTCTAAGAGTGAGAAAAACTCCCGAGCTCAGGTGAGGATAGCGAACATCTTTTCCGACACATCATTAGGTACTATCCACACACCCCTCACCGATTCTGTTGGCCTCGAGGTTGAGATGAGTCAGCTTACACGCCTCAGACTGGATGTAGACTGACAATGCCTGTAACCCCTTCCATCCGATGAGATTGCATCTATGGCAGGTCGAAGGCAGATTTAACCATATGGGTCACGAGTACCCACCTCAGATCAAGAACGGCGATCTCATTGTTGGGGTTGCTCACAAGTGCATCGCTGAGAATCTTCAATGTATCGTCTTTGATCAGCATCTTACCTAGATGCCTGCAAACCACCTTACATGTCATTGCAAGAATAGGACCTACAGCTCCTTTAGACTGGTGTTATAGGCGAGCATACGTCCGATGTGCTCATAGATGAGCTCGGAGTTGTGATGCTTGTGCAGTCGAGGGTTGGAGATATCGAGGTTTTCGAGCTTCGCCGCTGGGTAGTCGGCTTTGTTCGGATGGCCAATTGCGTTTATAATAGCATGCACCGCGTCGAAGTCGAGGTCGCAAGAGTCCACAAATACTGACTTCATTCCTGCCACACAAGTGGAAATCGATTATCACGTCATGTATAATTCTAATCTGTTCCCCCTCGGCTCTGCAGAAGTCGTGATAGAAGACTACAACTACCGATGCAAGGCGAGAGGCGATATCTCCGGACACTGCATGGAAATGTTCTATAGCAAATCACTCACTCTCTAATCATCACATATAAACTCAGAGGAGTCGCATGATGATGCCATTGATACCTGTGCTGTTATTCCCATCCACATGTTCGCCCTCACGACAAAGCCAACTAAGGGTATTAGTCGTAACACATTAAGGACGACTACGCTGAGGTCATTGTATTCAACATACTTTGCTATCTCTATCCCAGCCTTAGTCCCAATCTGGTTATTGCTAAAGTCGAGCTCTTCCATCATAGATAATCTGATAGTTCGTTGGAGCCGACTTCGAGCGTGTGGGAGCATACCGTGCCGCATTCAAGATGGTCGATACACCTTCGGCCGAGATCGAACAGCCTCGGAGTTTAACACTCTTGGTCTCACCTGCTCAGTAGAGCAGTATCGGTCTGCTGTTTGAGTGGTTCAATACCCGTGATAAGGGATCCCAGAGCTCTACACCCCCCATCTCCAATAGGGTTATAGGACAAATCCACACCCTCTACGCTAACATTGGTGAGTAGCAATGCTTTGCAGAGGACATCACAGTGGGCCGCCGTCACTTTCTTTTCATGCGAACGCCCCTCCCCTGAGTCGAAAGAGACTTTAACAAGGTGGAGGTAACTACTCGTAATAGTTCATCATACAGGTACCGTAGGCTAGGCGACAACAAAGACTAGCTGTGGTGGCTGGTCATCCGAGGCTAACCTCTGAGTGAACATGATATCTTATTGCCACTCGGACAGTTATGAACAGTTTCCAAAAACTCTTCAACGTATTCGAGTTTTTTCAGACCGGCATCGTCACACAGTTGAGCATATCTGAGTATATGTTAACGTTTTGATAAAAGTAGTGTATTCTATGATGACATAGCTCTAGGGTCCGCTGTCGCTAGTGATGGTTTGCTCACACGCTCGGTCCCTGTCGTATCTGAGTTCAAGGGTACTCGCATGGCCCACATATCGGCAAGTGGACTAGAGGACGGTCTCGATATCTTACGAGAGATTACCGTTATCGATTCTAGTGACAATAGTAGGCATCTGGTCATCAGCCGGTGTGACTCCACCCGAACACTCTATCTTCTCTGTAGCACTCATTTATTAAAGACCACTGTGAGTTGGGTTCGTGGATTCGACGCTTTACTGGATTTCCTGTAGTCTACAGTAGATAACTAAACTATAGTCGCTGTCCACTCCTCAAAGATTTCGGGAGTATTCCGACTAGCACAATCACCATACTGTGAGCGTAGACCTCATGTAGCGAACTACATCACGAAAACGTTGTCTTTATTGAGAGCCTTCCAAACAACTCCAGTGGAAACATGACAGCTTTTCTCCACAGTTTCAGATGACCTCATCCCATGACGTTCTCAACTCGACAAGAACAGTATCATATCAACACGCTAGATAACATGGCATAGCAGCTAACACTCTAAAGCCGTGATAAGGAGTAGTGAAGTCTTCTTCGCATCCCTCCACCATTCAAACCTACAACACATCAACAAATCATCACTACTCCACAGACCAGTAGAAAGCCTACCCGTATTCGTCAGCGAGCCATCCTCCTTAGGCTTCAAGGACACATCAGTAGCATTAGGAACTGCATCAATAGAGGAAGCACTTCCCAAGAGCTGCTGGTGTGCTAGTGACGGTCCATTGGGGAGGTCGTTGACAGTCTTTGCACGCCAGCCTGAGTGGGGGGGGGAGGAGAGAGTCAAGTAGATATGATGTCAAGTCGTGGTTGTGCTAAGTATGCACACGCAGCATCTCCCTAACTGTAATGTAGGACGTAATAAGCAATATTTCCATCCAAGTGATAGAACTGTTACCATCACTATGGTAGTACTGTTATCAAGTCTATATTGGCTCTCTGCATAAAATCTACATATACCCACAGACTCAGGTGGCAACGATGATACTCAGAGACCGATAGATCACGCTGGAGTCGATACCGTTGATAACATCATTGCGGCCAATACCACTCCATCCCGAAATTCCCCTCCAAGCTCACCTCCCGAGGCCGAATCCTTCTCCTCCCCATTGACCATGACAGTAGTCTCGTTATGTTGGGTTCTCAGCGCGTCATTCAAATAGGATCCGCCCTCCTCGATACGGCCTGCTTGTTTCTGAGAGTGAGTGCCACCCACAATATTGAGGTCATCAAGCCTTTGGGCTTTCGACTTCGACGTGAGGTCTTTACCCCCATCGATCAACTTCACCACCCGGACTCTCCAGCCTGACCAAACATGCTCTACCACAGCGAAGAAATACCCTCCTACCTCCTGGAGTAGTAGACCCAGGACTGCGGCCACTACTCGATTGACCTTTATATTTCACCGTAGACTCCGTATGCTTCGACTCAGTGTTGTTAAGGAAAGACCCTCCCTCCTCAATAGTCCCGGCGCCCTGCTGCGTAGTAGTGTCACCACCCAGGAGCACATTCCTCAACGATCCACCGTCCCCACCGAAACTCAGTGGTCCATCATCTGAGCTCAACTGTATCGATTCAGCAACATCCACCTACCCACCTCCAGGTTTAGCCTCCACAACACCATCATGTTCGCGAAAGTTCAAAGGCCGGGGCGTTGGGGGGCGAGCAACCTCTCCAATTTCCTCCTTAGTATCAACAACCTCTGTAGGCTCTAAACCACATACAGCATGACCACAACACCAGAGACCAACGACCTACCATGCGACTTCACCTCCCCCACATCCTCCTCGAACATCGTACCTGAAAAATTCCATAGTCCCCCTAGGCCTACCCGCGTCACCACCACACTCACCAGGCTTCGACTCCGGACGGCGTGATCTGGAGTTGGTAGTGTTACTCGAGGTTCTTCGATCCTCCCTAAACTCCTGACCTCCCTCTTCAATTCGACTACGACCTGAGAGCACCCATCCAGTCTTCTCGTATACCTCCAACACCGACCTTGTGTCACACGCGTGTCACCACCCAGCGTAACCCCACCTAAAAAACAACATCTCCGTAAAAAACCTACTCCCACTACTCACCATCGTCAGGGTCCACTTCCCCACTGTCCTCTCCAAACCGAACCCGTGGTCCGCTATCCACAGGAACTACAGATCCAAATCTCGTCATACAGTACCCCAGGTCCACTACTTTCCATATCCTCAACCTCCCCGGCCGACTCCCCAAAATTCACCCCCACTGTGCTAGTCGTGGTAGTGGTAGTAGTACTGACTGTCGTCATTACCACCGACTCAGAGGCAGCAACTCTCTCAGCCTCGCCCTCCTCGTTCCCAAAGAGAAGAGGAGCTGTAGTTGGCTCGGGTGCTGACATCCATGCATTCACGAGCATCGACCCAACAAGCCTACATGGAGTGGTTACAGCGCCGAACTCCTCACCACCAAAGTCGACCCCAACTGGCGTCGTAGTACTCGATGCTAAGACAAGGCTCATAAGGAACAGTTTCCACAGCTCGACTCACTGAGAGGGGCAGTACTGGTTGATGATGATGGTGCCCTAGTGGTTGTTGTGATTGCTGTGTTAGTCGACACCGACTCCGCTACATGCTCAGCCTCCCCCTCCTCCACACCAAATGCAAGAAGACCCCGACCCGTATTAGTAGGAGCTGATGGAGTCACGATGTGGCCAAAAGATGGTATGAATAATTCCTTGTGGGAACTCACATGATTTAGTCACCGTACCAGCCGACTCTCCAAAATCGACACCAACCGATGAGGTTGTTGTTGTTGATGATAGCGTTGCTAACACAGACCGATATGCATCCACAACCAGGCACAGCCCAGCAAATACTTACGACGTGGTGTAGGAGTACTCATCTCGGTACTCTCCGGCTCCTCTGAAAAAAGCCCAACCAGTCAGTAACCAGTACAAATGGATTTCCGTCAACCACGATGAATACAGTTCCCCATAAACTCCTAGTCTCCATAGCGATATTTAGTGACAATCTGTAATTCCACTACTACTACTACTACTACACCCAGTACTCCATCACTGTACTCTTCATCACTACGCCCCGCCCCCTCCTACTCTCTCCTTCCCTCATATCAAAGTTCAAACTGGCAGGACTACTAGCCGGCTCAGTCGGTGCAGGAGTCGTTGCTAAGGACAGCCACTTATCCCTCCGTAAAACACTTCCGAACTCACTCGAGGTAGACCCCGGTCGTTTGATAGTCTCCCCACTCTCCGCAACTTCACTGTCCCCACCCAGCCTCTCCGAGTGACCTGATGATGCCATAAACCATCCAACCTCACAGATCAGCACCCCACACATACCCGAGCCTTTGCCACTGTCTCCACCTACTTCCACCACAGCCTCCTCTAAAATACAATAACATCACCTCCTCCTCCCCTCCCCCCGTGCTCACCTTTCTTCACAGCCTCCCCATCCTCCTCCTGGAACTGCAGGAGCCTATTGGGCTCCTTTATCGGTCCTGATAGCACCACCGTAGCTGCCCTACACCATACCATAACGCACCTTCAACCTCCCCGTCGTACTCCCCAAAGATGACCCCTTTCGTTGTCGTACTCAGTGTAGTCGTAGTCAATACACTACTAGTCTTCGTAGTAGTACTACTACTCGACCGCTCCTCCATCTGACTGGACTCAGCCACCTCCTCAGCGGTCCCCTCCTCCGAATCAAAAGCAAGGCTATTCGTTGGAGCTAAACAACAACAGCCCGTCCCCACGTAGCAGTATTGATGAAATATATCTTCGCTTTCCTCAGCTGCTGAGCTCAAGAGTTTCCTCACTAACTCTAGGAGTTCACTTACAAATTCGGGTAGACCGCCGAAACCAGGGAAATTTTTCCAATGTTCTCAGACGTGGTTACCCATGTGCACATTTTTCCAAGTATATGATCCCAAACTCACCGATGGGGAAATCCCAAACTATACGACTGATACTGACGAGTGATACGCTCAGATGTAGCATGTCACTCGTTAATTAACAGTTTGAATTGAATTGATCCCAGACTCACCAGCAGTCGTGGTCACTTCTCCCTTATGCTCCGCAAAGGTCACTAGCCTAGCCCCCGGCTCCGTAGTAGTCGTAGTAGCTGCCCGAGAGTATTATGCAACTCCTTCGTGAGTAACTCTACTACTTGTTGTAGTATTCTCGAGAGCCCTTGCTGTACTGGGCGTAGGTATGTGACTAGACTCCTCCTCAATTACCTTCTCAGCCTCGCCTTCCTCTACCCCAAAGCTCAACATCCGCGACCCGTCATCTGATAGCAACTCCACTACACTAAGATTCACCGCCCGGCTCACTCCTCGGCCCAACATGCCCGTCATCCTCGCCGAACTCCAGGAGGCCAGACGTGGTACTAGCAGGAGTTGGTCGTGGCTCTAACATCGCACAATTTCGTGGCGCAGTGACGATTCTTCAACCCACGTGTTGCCGTTGTAGTAGTGGTAACCTCCCCCTGCACATCCCCCGTAGTTGCTATAGCAACAGCCACATGAATAATACACCACACCTACACCCCACCTCCAAACACCAACTGATTCTCCTCGACAACCCCCGCTTCCTCCTCTGAGAATTCCGCCTTGACCGCTGTACTATTGCTGTTGATAGGGATCTCCTCGATGTCTCCATCCCCTTCCTCCTCTACACAAGACCAGTGTTGGAGTAGGAATATATGTCCGCTCTCCTCAGCTGCTGAGCTCAGGAGTTTCCTATACAGTGTTGGAGTAGGAATATATGTAATCGCTTTCCTCAGCTGCTGAGCTCAGGAGTTTCCTATACAGTGTTGGAGTAGGAATATATGTAATCGCTTTCCTCAGCTGCTGAGCTCAGGAGTTTCCTATACAGTGTTGGAGTAGGAATATATGTCCGCTCCCCTCAACTGAGCTCAGGAGTTTCCTCACTAATTATACGAGTTTATACACGATTCCTGGCAGAAATGTCCAGAAACTTCCGAGAATTTCCTAAAACTTTCCTCAGAAATTTCATGTTGTCCCCAACACATGTAGTTGAACATGTGCATATTTTCCCCTCCACCTCACCAGCAATTCCTCGATCCTGCTTATCCTCACCAAGCGTCTTCTTTTCCTAAACCACCATCATCACTACATCCATCCCTACAAAACCATCTACACCTACAAAGAGGTAAACTAGGAAGCATTTCAACGCCCTCCTATCGCTGAAGCGGAACTCCACTATGTTGCCATCCTTGGTAATCGCCGTGAGAAGGAGGTCAGTAGGAGCCGGGCCGACGTAGAGTGTGCTCAGGAGTATATCAAGCTTGTACGGGGCGAGGGGATCCTCGGTATTCATGGAAATGGGCGCACCCGTTTCACTGTTATATACACGAACGCTCTTGGGGGAACCTTACCGACGACAGTACTTCGGATGGAATCACACTGGTCCTACTGTGACAAGCTGGTCTATTGACACCAGTAGTGCTGTTATCGGCAAGTACCACTGCTTGGGCTACCTCCTCACCTGAGGATGGAGCACTCATAACGACGATGAAGGATTCTCTTCAACGGACTCGAATGCTCCTCAATATCGCCTTCCTCCTCTTCAAAGTTCACTCCGCTCGGTGCCGCTGAAGTAGTGGCTGATTGACACAGACAGCAATCCGTAGATGCGCAGTCGAATTAGATCTCACTCGAAGTAGAACTCGTATCCACCTCGATCGACTCATGCTCACTTTGGCCTGCCACGAGTGATGATAGCCGTACTGAGCTCGGCGGATACTCACTTGAACTCTCTTCCTTAGTGCCCTCCTCGCTACCAAAGCTCAACACCATGGAGTTCCTCACCGGTGCTCTAGTCGTTGTAGTCGTCGAAACTGAAAAAATTGCCGCAAGCGAGCGGACCTTGAAATTCGCCTCGACCTACTTGGTGTTGTAACAGCTCCTCCTTCCTCATCGAAGAGCAATCCAACACTAGCAACAGTGGTAGTCGTTGGGACTGAGGAAACGTGGCTCCCAACCAAGCTAGAGTGTCGATATTGAACCCACTTGGTGTTGTGACAGCTCCACCTTCCTCATCGAAGAGCAACCCGACTGTAGTTGTTGTTGTAGTGGTAGTAGTGGAAGGGGCTGAAGGGCATAACAGTATGGTACCACTAGGGGTGGTTCATGGCTGACCTGCATGCTGCTGTTGTGCCAAGGTGTTGTACTGCACACTCGAAGAGCCTGTAGAGAACAATTTTACGACGCGTGACGGATGTGTTCTCCCTTACTTCTTCGATCAACCTCGCCAGTCTCTGTGCCAAAGCTGAGACTCTTTCTAGCGTAGCTCATTGATGCTACTAGAGATAGTTTTATTATCGTTCTGATGCATAGGGTCGAACCCATGCTGTTCAAGGGAACAAAAAAAGGGGCCTAAAAGGACTATATCATTCACTGTCATTGACAAACGAAATTCAATCAACTGTGAGTAGCTGAATCACAATCCCTAGTAGACCGATGCGTCCACAAGGCTATTTGCAGGCCTCGGAAAGAATCAAAGCAATTATTGTTCGTAGAGGTAGTGCAAAACACCATGCTGAACCAATTGAAATTTGACGGGGATTTTGAAGAAAGACTCCATAAGGAGCTCCCACTATTCATGAGGTCCAAGGGTTACAGGATTGGCATCCACCCCGCTTGTGCTCCCACGATGGTTCCTTTTCTCAGATGATTTCTGTGCGCAGTCGCAGCGCTCGAACGGTCGCAGGTGTCGACGTGCGAGACAGACGGTTCGTTGGGTCGACTTTCACGAGAGAGTTGAATAGCGATAGATCTATACAGGAGAAACATCAGAAAGGCACTCAGAACATGACTGAAGCCATCATTAGTTCCGCAACAACTATAAAGTGCGCTGTTAGAATGTGTTGAGGAGTGGTAAGAAAGAGCAAGAACGCAAGAATTTCTATCACTTCTGACCAAACGAATCGTCTATACGATGGCGTGGTTATTATGACAGTACTCACTAAAGTACAACGGGACACTTTCATTAAGTTCAAAGAGCGGTTTCCGACTCGAGGGCTGCCTCTGGCGAAGCGAATGTATCCCGAGGAGTTCGCTGACGTCACTAGTCACGACTGGAGTCGGCTTGTACATGAATTAGGGTATAGCCGAAGTGGTGACAAGCGAGCAAAGATCACTTCCAGGGTGAGCCGAATACTTCAGTCGAGGGTTCAGTACATTAGTTTGCTTAGGATAGCTCTAGAACGAGGCGTAACACTCAAGAGGCGTCTGATGAACGCACCCCGACGAGCATTGCTAGCGATGAACGGCGTCAAAGTGCCACAAGTGAGTTCAATGGCCATATGGAAGCACGGAATCAGTTGTCTCAGGCGAGCCGGGACCGCTATCTGATGGAGCTCGTGACAGCCAGGGTTCGAGTAACAATATTGAGGACGCTGGCAACCCTTCCACTGCTCAACGTGAGCTGGGTCTCGTCAGACGGGAGGCTAGGCGTCCTTTGTGTAGCAGCAACTCCCTACATGAAGTTCCTAACAACACGGCATCGGGAGCTCAGAGAACAAGGTGTATTGAAGCTTATCACACCGCGAGAAATCACCGCCACTATTCTTTGCGAATGGGGAGCAATGACCGAGTAGGATGCGCCTACGAGGATTCTTGGAAGGCCCCCTCTTCACTTAGGGAGCAGCGGACGTCATATGAGGCTCCTCCCACCACTGCGATTAAAGCAGAAGCACTTGCTGAGTCTGCTGTGGATGACGATGATTGTGCAGAAGCGGAGGTGGTGTTTGTTGAAGGCGGCTCGCGGGAGGGTGGTGGCAACCCAGTGGTCTCGACAGCTGATTATATCATTCCAGCACAACTATGCTCTGATGAAGACTAGTACATTAAAGCTCCTAACAGCCCTTGTGTAGAGTGTTACGACAGGTCTCGGTGGGGTCTTCTTTTGGTGATGATTGTCCTTCTGTCACTTCCTCTGTGGATGATGATCGTCAGCTGCTGGGGAGGAGTCCGATTGGATGATAATCAGCAGGGGCAGGCCGATTCCATCCTTGATACCATCGATTATTTCCCAGCCCGGGGCAACTATGCCACTCTAAGATATGCCCCCATACAATCAATTCCCTCGCCCGGGGCAACTATGCCACCCCAAGATATGCCTCAATACAATCAATTCCCTCGCCCGGGGCAACTATGCCACCCCAAGATATGCCTCAATACTATAATAGAAACCATAGATCGCGTCTGATGCACACAGGGTTTGTTGTTCAATAAGCTAACCCTCAGAGTCAGGAGGGTTCCTTCATTGGGAACATCTCTGGTGGGAGACTGCGTTTGATCTCACCTATGGGACAACTGTAAGAGAAGAAACTTTCGAATGCTTCCTTCACTACGTCGATGAATCCGAATTGGTATCGATTTAGCAGAGAGTCGATCCAACTCTGCCCCGTTGATAACCATGTTTTATGCGCTCATAGATGCTGACCTTCCTCATATGGCTGCTCCGTCCTTCTCCAGTATCGACATCAGTGGCGGAATACTCTCTTCCACCTTGTGGTGCGCATTGTACTATTAGCGTCAATCCTACCGTCCTCGCTAGGAGCGGAGACCCACTGCATTTGGACTGGTCGTCCCCAACCTCTACCAACGATTCGGATTGGATAGGCTTCTTCGCTCCACCCTTCCGTTCTACACGAATCACGACTACGTTATGCGGTTCAAACCACACTTGATCGGCGCCTCAGAACACACGCTGTCTCTGACGAACATCAGTCCTCATTCTATGATATCCGCTACATTTCTGGTGCTACTGGCGACTGCCTCTGTCGGGCCGAGGAGAGAGTGACGTTCCGTATGAGACATCTTGAGCCCACTCAAGGCCACGTCAGCATGGATACTGTCACCGGTGCTCTCAAGGTCCATTGGGTTAGTGGGGATCCGAGCCCGGGGATCGTCGAGTACAAGGCTGCTGGCGATTCCGAATGGTCTGTGAGGCATGCCTCTGTTACAACCTACGACTATGAGGATATGTGTAATCGGGATGGGGATCCGAAGATTTACTACGATCCTGGCTTCTTCTATACAGCGGATTTACCAGCATCATTAGAAGGGGAAATTCGTGTTCGCTTTGGTGGCATTCATCATCGCTCGGAAATCTTCACAGTCACCGCCCCCGTTCCCCCGAGCTCCGATGAGCCCCACAGTGTCGCTCTTTTTGGCGACATGGGGGTTCAGGGCTACTATCGAGGGCCTGATGCAGTAGATGTTCCTAGCGGAAGTTGGGATACCTACTGGGTAGTCGATCATATGCGGTCCAATACAAGGTTGAGGATGGCAGTGCACATTGGTGATGTGTCCTATGCTATGGGGTATGCCCGTGTATGGGACTTGTTTGGTACTGCCCTTGAAGGGGTGGCGATGAGGATGCCCTATATGGTAAGTATTGGTAATCACGAGTTTGACTATACTAGTGGAGGCTGGCATCCTTCTTGGGGCAACTTTGGTTCGGACTCTGGTGGGGAGTGTGGTGTCCCGACTAAACACAGATATCAGTTCCCATATTGGTATTACTCCTTCTCATTTGGTCTCGTTCATTATGTCATGCTTTCTTCTGAGCATGACTGGACTGAAGGCAGCGAGCAATGGGAGTGGCTCGATGAACAGCTGGCCAGCGTCGATAGACTTGTAACTCCCTGGCTCGTCGTGACCGCCCACCGTCCCATGTTGGTATCGGCTTATGATCCACCCCAACGAGCTGTCGAGGAGCACATGTATCCTGCCTTGGGACCTCTACTCAAGGAGCACCAGGTGGATCTGTTCGTTGCAGGACATTGGCATTACTATGAGAGGACACATCCTGTTGATGGCACGGTTCATGTTCTCGCTGGAAGTGCCGGTGCTGAAGTGGTGGCTGAGAGATACGACAATCTGTCTCGTACGGCTGCCATATGGCCCTTCGTTCGTGGCTATGTCGAGCTGAAGGTCACACGTGAAGCATTGGAAGGGACTTTCTATGGGATTAACGACACCATGACGAATAGACATCTGACCGAGTTCGACCATTTTATAATTTTCAAGTAGGTCGAATTATTCACAAAACAGCGTAGAGCTTCTAGGAGTTCTTCACTGACTCGGGGCAGGACTTGCTCTGGTATTCTCAAGTACAATTATAGTATTTTCCCAATCGTTTGTTGTCATTCAACCGAAAAAGCGTTTACCAGTCATTGGTACTCGATACTCATAAGCAGTTCACTTGATTCTGATAAGGAGTACTTTTGATGGGCTTTTTCTCATATGGTCTTTCCGAAATATCCGATTCTATTTCACTCACGTGTTGTGTCATCTGGCTCGTGATCTGAGCTCGCCAAACGATAAGATGATAGTGATTAAGCTGGAATACAATATCAACATGCTGAGTGCTCTATGCTACTCAGCAGCTCCACTCCTACGAGACCAGAGAGTGAACCAGAGGCTCTGGTCAACTCTGGGCCAGAGTTGCTCTGAAATTTCATGTAACTACTACATTCGATGCACTAACAATTGCATATCACTATCGATTCGAGCGTGCCTGGGTGCGGCCCTCCGTGGAAGATTGAACTGCAGTATCGGTTGATGCCAGTATAGACTGCGGCCCCTTTGACCGAGCCTGAGGATGACTGCCAGTCGGAGCCTTTCCGTTTATTACTTTCGAGATTCGTCACTCCAGAGCCACAAGTACTCACTCGAGACATGATGAAAATCAATTGACTAGTCTCTTCAGAGAGGTTCCCCATTTGATACATATACAAGGCTCAGTAGCCGACGCATCAGCTGCTGGTCAGAATGTCGCTATCGTAACCACGAATGAGAGGTAGAGTACAATGAACAGTACCAGGCGACGCCTAGTAGACGTCATCAATAGCGCTAAACTACTATTCATAAGTACGTTTAGCTGCTGAGTCTCAGACTGTTCACTTGGCGTCCCTCTAAAGTGTTGGCAACCGAAGAGGAGCCGAACGAGAGTTTGCCGGAGGAAATCCACTGGGCAGAAGTCGGCATGTTCCGACACAGCGCCGTAGATGAATTTCGTTCAGCTGCTCATCAGCGATGGCAATGCGACCTATAATGACTTGGACAAATATTTCGCTGAACATGATGCTCACACACCCTTCACGTACATTGCCGAGAACCCGCGACTCGTATGCAGTATCTCATTCGCGACCGATTCGTCAATACCTTCATAGGAGCCGGTACAGCAGCCAAGTGTTGCTATTGGTACCAAGGGCGCCTGGGCAGTTTCCACAGAGCTCCAAGACGGGTGCAGTGAATATGGGTAGGGTTCAGCCATCACAGTCAGAATTACAGATGCCAGAACAGCTATATTTTAGAACTATGGTCACCCTGAGCCTCGATGGGATCCTCGCAGGGGCCAAGGTCTCGAATGCATGGATGTCCCGTCGAGTGCGGACGGTGGTTTTTGGTCTGGAACACGCACTCTTGCTAACGAGCAACGGAGCTCTCTTTGCATGTGGCTCAAATGACAAGGGACAACTGAATCCATTCTCTACCAGCAGAAGAGAGCGATTTTCAATGTGCAGAGTAGCCATGAAGTTGAGCACACATCAGTGTAAGAACCTTGCAGGTTACCCTCCCTGCTGAAGCGGATACAGCGATACTTATAGCCGCACACGGTCACAGAAGTGGCTGCGTGTGCGTCCCGGGGGACCGCCTGTTCGAATGGGGTGCCGGTATTGGGTCAAAGGTACATCATCTGATCTATACATCTGGCGGAGCTACTTGTCGACTCCAGATGCGTGAAGTAGATGTCTTGGGGCGGGATGGTGTTTGCATAATACAATATGAGCTGAATGATACCCACTCATTGGCCCTCGTCGAGACCGAGGGATCCACAACGGAGTAATTGCCGCGCGGAGCTTATAATTTAGGATATTCCCAGGGTCTTATCGTGGACGGCCACTCGGAATGTCCTCGACAAAGACCGCGAGCAGGAAGGCGAAGCTCATAATGATGAAGGTGGGAGTCGCAAAAGAATCGAGCATGAATCAGAATGTGATTGCCATTGAGTCTGCACCAGCATCCACTTAGCATGAAAACGTTAATGCGACCTCAAGTTTGTTTCTACACTTCGATGTAGTAGTTGCTCAGATAATGACGATACCCGTTACCCAAGAATGGTCACGCTCCCGGTATCTACCGCAGTTGTGCATCTATCTTGCGGCCCATCATACTCAGTGAGGCTGCCCGATGTCTAGAGAGCCCCGAACCTCTGGTACGCGATCAGGTCTTCGTGACTGCCACTGGAGAAGTCTATACGCGTAGCCTCCACACAGCGTCTTCAGTGGTACACCTGGGTGTTGACGACATCCATGCCTGGATTCGGGTGGGCAAAACTGTCAGCGGCCTAGGCTTGCGTGGATCAGCCGCAAGATACCGTATTTTGGTGGTCGCTATCGACGAGCCGTGAAGAGTCACTGTGGTGATGGCTTCACCATCGTCCTCGCCGAGATGGGTGGCCATTCTGAGATCAGCGGACGCAGGGATGCCTTACGCGGCGATAGATCTGTAGAGTGCTTCGTGCTGCACTCTAACATTGATGTGCATTCAGAAGCTGTATGCCATCTTGAAGATAAATAAGCGCATGCAGAAACCGAGGCCTAAGCAAATATCCCCCCGTGAAGATCCACCCGTTACCCGTATGAGGAGTGGGTCGCCGAGGAGACCAGAAACTGCTGGCGCTCGCTTCCTGGCCGACGCATACGGGTTTGGTGGTCACGGTTACCTGGTAGCAGTTCTACTGTGATGTTTTCGGTGTAATTTGGTTCCTTGTGAAACAAGGTGGACCTTCCAGTGACAGCGCCGCGGCCTCACACAAGCGAGGCTCGGTCGCGGGGTCATCCTGACTCCCAGCCTCAGGGAACAGTGGATGAGCTTCTATCAACTACCGCTAGTTTCCGACCCCAGTCTGGATATCATCGTAACTCCAAGCCGCGGGCTAAATCAGCGCGTTGGAGACCAGAAAGCGCAGCCACAGTTATCAGTGCTCGTATGCACAGAAACGCAACCTTCGACCAGTGCTGCTACTCTAGGCACGTCTACCGCAAGGAGCCCGTATGCTCTCGGGGAGCTGTTCAGAAAGGCGGCTGCTGCTAGGAGGCCGATGTCAGCCGAAGGACGGGGGTTCACCTTCAGCCGATGTCAGACACCACGTGGTAGGTGAGTCACGCTGCCCGCCGGGCTTCTCTCTCATTTTTGAGGTATACCCCCGACGCTCGTCACTGCCTTTGTTCGGCAGCCTGACCAGGCCAGGCCAGTGACGGCAGAAAGAGGTCACACTTTCCCTACTACTCCGAGGTGAGACCCTCCTGGCTCATGAGGTCTGTTATGGTTCACATTATATTATAGGTGGAGCAAGCCAGATGACTATCGATGTCAAACAATGCTCCCGAAAATTAGATTGTCCCAAGCGGGTCGTAAAGAATTTTTAGCCTCAAGAGGCTCCGATGGTCGAGTACTTTCCACAGCAGAGGCCAGAGAGCAGAGTCGCATCGCTAGAGAAGAGCGCATAAAACAGAAGACTGAGCGCTTGGAAGCCGATGCCCGCGCTAGAGTGCTGTCACAGAGACGAGAACAGTGGCTCTCAGCTTGCGCTGCAATATGCTTCTCACAAAGGCTCATCAGACAAGTGCTCTGGTATCGGAAACGTTGGTTGTACGTGCTGATCGTCGTGAGAATACAACGATACTTGCGACGATTACGAGTTCACTGAGTGAACTTCACTCGGCCTTGAGACGCATCTCTCCGGTGACCAAGATTGTTCTGGTGACATGTCTACGGCGATACCTCTATTGGGTACGCAAGCGTTTGCACCAACGTTCATCTAGAGTGGTGGCTGCTTTTCTTCGCGAGGCGGCGCGTCTGACAGTCTTCACGCGCCACACGATAGAGTACTTGGTGTGTGTACGGAGGATCCAGGCCTGGTACCGTAGAGTGATGTGCCGCAATACGTTGAACTTTGCTTTTGAACATCGACGATTGAGAGCGCGGCTGCAGGCAAAGTTCCAAGGGAAGACTACTACTATCGGCAGAATGCTGTACAAGTATGATGCTTTAGAGGATAGTATCCAGTCGGAATTCGCGCGGGAGCTCTTGCTACGGCTGAGAGAGCGTCGATTGACGAGGTGGAAGGAGCTACGCTGTGCCTGTCGGCTCACGAGATCGATGAAGGTATCTGATGAGGCGTTCATGTTCCTCGGCCAGGGTAGGGCCACAATTTGAATGTGATCATTGGGCCCGTTGTCAGGCCGTCCCTATGAGGATGGCAGGAGAGGAGTTCTAACGCCGAGCCGTTGGGCAGCTGTTGCGTCCCACGGCTGGTCAACAGCAGACGATGCAACTTTGAAGGAATGGAAGCAGGTGGTCAGAGCTCTCGTCGGTCGGGTCCTCAATGACACACCTCTCCTTGTGAGTGCGGCTAGGCCTGCTGTGGACACTCTACCTCTCTCAGAGGAGGTCCATGGGAAAGAACCCCAGGGACATTGCCAAGCCATGGGTAGACAAGGCAATCTCTAAGCATTGGGATGCCATCATGCCAACGTTCGTGAATGTTGAGAAAGTGGGAAGGTGAGAGAACCATAAACAAGTGTCTTTATTATCCATGGCTCGCTCGTTCAGTGCGATGTCTAAGCTGGAATACGATGAACGCATGGCGCAGATCGAAAGGGAAATCGAGCATGTCGCCCACCATTATAGGATGCATGTCGCCAGGTAACTACCGTGCCCAAGTCTCGACATATTAATCGTGTTGTGTTGGCAAGTCGTCAATCCTTCGCATGAGAACCGACAAGTGAGGCGGAGCAAAGAAAATCTCATAACTCGGGCCGCGATTTTCGAGTTGAAATGTGGATTTGTATTACTGTTGGCGAGCTCGGGTGTGAAGTTCTTGCAGAGGCGTCGTCAAGGATATGCACACAAACTATTAATACGTCGGTCGAATGTAACTTCAGATTCTACTAAAAACGTTCCACTTGTCTACAGCGTATTCTTTATCAAGGCACTCACTTCTTGACTACGACCTCCGGGGGTTACTCTTGTTGGTTGTGGACATTCTGAATCGATTCCTGAATGCCCTATCAGTTGTGTCGATGATTCCGTGTCAATAATATAATACGTTATTCTAACACAAGCCTTATTTGATCTATTAAATATATCATCCGCCATCAGTCATTTGTTCAGGTCTGTGCGCGTTTCCGAATTATATTGATATTCATCATCACACAAGAACTCGGCACGATGTGACACGACATGCCCCGTAATGATATCATGTGTTTACCTCCATGGTGGGTATAGGTTGAAGTTTGGACGTACCTTATATACTCCAGAGTGACGGCCTCCCGACACATGGCTGATGCTCACTTTTTTCTTTTTTCTCTTGTTGCTATCTTCTGAGTTCGAGTTGACTATCTGGAAGTCATCAGAATCACCCCTCACACCTTGGTAGTTGGGATAAGGCTTATTTAACTCTACTCCATCGTCGTATCTGCGACCATCAAAATACGCCAAATTGAGACGTTCATAGGGTCACCGAGGGGAGTTTGCCGGTTTGCTACTGGAAGCTCGGTTTAGTAGTATCTACGCACGAATTGTGTAGGTGGGCGAGAGACTATCGGGAAGTCACTTCCTTTTCGATCCGTTGTAATATCAATCGCAAATCGTAGAAGGTTTCCCGAGGTCCACTCCTAGAGGCATCGCCCTGAAGTATTCAACAAGTCTGCATTCTCTTCAAAGCGACCGCTCACTCTGGCAAGATTGGCCGCACACACTCGCTGTTCACGTGCGACTACGGGATCCGTCTCGGTTAGATAGCGCACAAGGAGAGGATGAATATCGCCATGCAGCAATGCTTTCTTAGTGTATCGACCTTTGTATTGTTCTGACACAACTTTAATCACGAGTTGTATACCACAACACGACGATATACCCCTCGGTGAGCTCTTGTGGCCGTAAGCCACGGCTCTTCTGTTATTCCTCCCCGAGAGAGCGCCGCCTGTCATACATTTCAGAGCAGTCTGAGTTCCGCTCCATTTGCCGACCTTTTTGATGAGCGTCCGAGTATAGGGCAGTGAGGAAATTGTCCAGTTGATCGATGGTGTTATCCAGTTCGGCTTCTATTGACAAGCTTTCCGCTTTCCAACGGTGCTTCATGTAATAGTCCAGAAAAGGATCAGGTGTAGAGTTCTAATGCAACAACACTGCAGATTGAACCTTGCGAGGGTTTGGTCACCGGATCTGATGGAGCGCAATCAAGTTGTGAATCGCTTGTAGATTCTGAAGGGTCATCGACCTCTGACAAAAAATCATCCGATTCGTCGTTAATGAGGATGCCGGGGAGGTCGTCCAGAGCCGGCAGTTTCGTATAATGCCCATCCATCAATTTCTTGAGTTCCGCACCTGAGAGATGACAGCACCTCGGAGACCGATAAAATATCATTCGAATAGTGTAGTTGGTAGGAACTATCGCTAAACATGCGGGAGGTTCCGGGTTCAACTCTCGGGGTGAATTAATTTTACTCGCACTCTGTCGTCAACATACTTCCTTACCTTGAATGATAGTCCCCAAGAGAGGCTTCTCTGGACCACCTCCACCAACTTTGTGACTCCTCGCCCGGATATGCAGCAACCTCCTGCTGACTTTATTCTCTTCTTCGTCCACAGGTGGACCGGGAGGGACGAAGTATACCATCCTTTGCAACCGAGCCTATAAACTATACATGCCTCGTCATGTAGTGTCTACCCTATAACTAGCGTGGTGGTATTTGCTCTCCCCACTGATGTTAATACAATCGAACTCTGCGGTAAAGAGTACGCACAGTTACTGTATCACGAGTTGTATACATGTGATCTAACGAGAGTTTTCTTTTCACTTCGTGGGAAGGCTGTCAGAGGTTATTGTACATTGAAACGATACCCGAACATCGCCGATCTATGAAAGTAATGAAGAAATTTTTTCGGGCAGCTGGGCGGTCGCGATATCTTCGACTTTACGTACATTCGTCAATTAATGGGATTTTGCGTACTGCCAGCTGAGTTTCTCTATGTAGGTATGGGTCATTTAGTGTGCATTAAAGAGCTCTTCGGCTGCTGAAGACGCTCGACGTATTCGATGATGAAGTCTCACAAGGGGAGCATGTCCAGCTGGTGCTTGACACAGAGATTGGTAGTAAGGGCAAGACCTTCGGAAAGGGTATATCCCTATAATGCCGCTTGGTCTCGATCGCTGACTATTAGCGAGTCAACTAAAGTGCCTTCGATTGAGGCAGTTCGAGTACTCTCTAGAAGAGAACTGTCTGCATGAGTGTATACTACCAGCAAACTGGGTTTAGGAGAAACGCTTACCGAAGTAGTCTTATTGACTAGTTATGTTGGAAGTAGTGGTAGTAGTAGATATGGAGGAGAGCCGGCTAGTACTTACCCTTATACGTTGGATCGATTTCAGTCTGAGGCCGTGTCCTGTCTGGAGCGTGGTGAATCAGTAAGGTTCGCTGTGGTGGGAAAATATGCACATGGTCAACTACACGTGTTGGTGACGATATGAAAACTCGCAAGAAATTTTGGGAAATTCTCGTTGGATTATAACGCTTGAGGAGATGATGGTCGAGAGCGGGACCAAGGTGCGGAGGGAATCGTCTGCAGTGCTAGTTTGTGAGCGATGCATATGGGCAGAACTGTTGGAAGATATCAGTTGAGATAAAGCGTGATGGTAACTTATACACGACTTGGGGTGGAAAACTAACAAGAATTTTCCGAAATTCTCAGGGATTTTTTCATTGCATTTGACACGCGTAGTTGATCATGTGCATAATTTCCCACACAGTATACGTGGACAGATACTTGTGAAAAAACTGAGTACTCGATTTGGGGCACTTCGACGTTTGTGATCCCTTCGGAGCTCGTTGTTCTTCTATTACTATGTCTATGTCGTGTTGGTCAGTTGTTGTTCACACGGTGGGGGTAGGGTTAATATCACTCTATGGCAGCGCATAAGAATCGTACTGGTGACAGTGAAGGCCGCTATACGAATCTCGAGACTACTGCAGGAGCTGTCCCGACTGGTGATGTTGTTCCTGATGAGGCCTCAAGAGGAAGGTGTTTTGGCTTGAGGCTGGTCATGGCTACACTACCAGTGGGGTTCTCGGAGGCTTTGGCTGTCCTTTTCTTCACTCAAGCATTGGTGACAGCTGAGGTCAGCAACGGTCTCATAGGCTATGCGTGGTTGGTGTCACCACTGGCGGCGATTCTGGTCCAACCCTGTGCTGCTGTTTGGAGCGATAGAGCTACATGGAGTCGCTTTGGGGGCCGACGAAAGCCGTTCCTGCTGATGGGCTACTTCTTTGCAGTGCTCGCATCTGCAGTGTTAAGTCTAGGGTCTGAACTCCCTGGGAATCCCACCGTGTATGTAGCCATCGGATTTGCTCTTCTTTTCATCAGTACCAACCTGCATCTAGTCATGCTCAGAGCCCTCGTCACTGACACGGTTCCACGCAAGGCCATGGGAGTCTACTTCTCCCTGCAAACGTTGTTCTACGTCTTCGGAGCGGCCCTCACATATGCTGGATCGTACGTGTTGGACTATGAAGGGTCTTGGTGGATGGACGCGCTTCGTAGTGAAAGTTGCAGTAGTAGTGTATGCCTCCACCTGAGGAGTATGGCGGTCATCGCTGGCTGTCTGCAGTTCGTGATGGCTCATTCGGTGTTGATGTTACCCGAAGTGCTTACAGGAGTACCGCCAGAGCAACGCAGTAAATGCTGTCTCTGTTTCAAGTGGATCGCTGATTTTTTCTGTGACTTGAAAGATTTACTTCTCCACTCTACATCTACTGGTTTGATATTCCTGGCATCGATCGGAGGCTTCATGGGAGTTGCCGCTCTGATGATACATGGCATCCAACTACTGGTCATAGACGGGTTGCCCCCCGAGATGCCCATACCCGAAAGGTATGCAACAGCTTCATATGGTCTGTATGGTTCGATGATCCTAGGTGTGGTTACTGCGATGGTCCTGCCGATGATCGAACGTCTAGGGCTGGACCTAGCACTGTGTTGGGTTGTATCCTTCCTTATTTTCGCTGGTCTATTGGTGAGCTCGTTGGCACTACCCAGAGTAGCTGAGCACAAGGGGTTTGGTGTTGCGTGGATGGTGCTCACTCTAGGGCCTATGTATGCTACGTTGCTTACCATTCCTTTGACACTTCTTGCCCGTACTGGTACGGCATCGGCTGCCTTGAGGATGTCCATGTTGTCGGTCTCACAAGCAGTAGCTCAAATAATTGTCTCTGTCACTGGTGGTATATGGTTCGCTGTATCCTCTCAAAAAGCCGCGATCTTCGTAGGGTGTGGTATCGCGTCTGCAGTATCTGCCTTATTGGCTCTGGCTGTCTATGGTGCCATTAAGAGCGGTAGAGCTGAGTATTATGACGGTCTCGATGAAGAGGAGTTAGCACCGGTGACTGGCGGCGTACCGGAAATGACAGTGGTCCCACCAAGGGTTATTGGTAGAGTTTAACCTGAGTAGAGACTGGTTGCTGCCATGGTCATATTATTATTAGTTTTTGATGGTATCGTCACCAAAGCATCAACAACTTTTCTATTCTCTCGATGGTGTTGAGCTACAAGTTGTAAGCCTTTCTTGAGGCTACTGGTATCGATGCAATACGACACAGTACAGGAAACCCTCGAGTACCTCCAAACCGAACGCACCCGTTTGCGACATGAATCTTATTCAAGACTAGGACGATGAAATACGGCTTGACCAACTCAGGCGTATTATCACTCAGTGTGCCATCATTGTAACTAATGAGGCAAAGTCGCGGTAGATCAGAATTGCCACGCATGAGGTTTCAGTTTCCGCCAGTGTCCGACACTCCACTTACAGTGTTGCACGCTTACTCAACGAGGAATGGTACTACGACTTCTGCGAGAAAATTGCCTTAGTAAAGTTGGAGTATATGAGAGTCGGTATTAGGCGTAGAACCAGCGAAAGAGGTAAGGCAGGGTTGCTTGTGTCCAATATGGACAGGAACCGCCTTAATGGTGATCAAAGACGACAAGTGGGAAGCTTCCAACCGCCGTTGGGAGGCTGATGCGTTCACGAGAAAGGGAGTGTATTCGCGCCAATGCTTCCATCACGCTCGAATTCCCCTCTCCCTCCCCTCTGCGTCTGTCACTGCTCCAACGTGGGAGCTGTCTGCCCTGTGTTCTACTGAGGGCTATTATGGAGGGCCACGCATCTTCTGTGTACACACAATGAACTACGTCTTCGATCTTATTGGGAGGCATATCTTGTGCAATCCCGAGGTAGAGCGTGATGGATACGAAACTGGTCACTTTTCAGCCTAAGTTGATGGCATAGACGACGACGAAGAGGAAGAGGAAGAACGAGTTGTCGTCCTCTGGCTGGGGGCCTACCCCAAACGAGCCCTGTCCAGAGGCAGGAGCTACCCTATGGTGATTGTAGAATATCCAGGGTCGGAGGTCAGATTATTGCAAACGCTTCTGAGACGTGTAAAATCTGATAAGTCGAAACCGTATGATGATTATCGACATGGAAGAGAATTTTAGTGACGACAATGGATGGGCCCTACCAATCAACAAGATGCTCATTGCAAAGACAAGTCCCTTCCCTTGGTCGTTAGTAACGACAAAGTAGCGACTCGTTACAATTACTGCTATCTCTTAGCAGCTCGGTGGTATCATTAACTAGGTCAAATGGGTGAGACCATAGGGCAGCTCGATAGGTCCTGACCTTCGTTGAATGGCTGTCTAGAATTAATTCCTCGGATCGAGAGGCTGACCAAAGCTGCTGTCAGGCAGTGTGGAAGGGAGGCCAATATATAGCCATGCCGGATCCTTTTCCCGATGGTCTCGTTGCGTACAGCCAGCGGGCCGCGATGGACCTTCTACGGCGTGACCTCAATACTATCAGCAGTACCTGGCAAGAGCAGTTCGATGCGGCCTTCAAGGCGTTAGAGGTGACCAACAAGGATATTGCAGTTGTGAAGAAGGCGCGGAACAAGTTGGTGGATGTGAGTGTGGAATCCCCTCGGCTTTTGAAGAAGTCGTGACTCAGAGTGTGAGACAGGAGCTAGCCTCTCTGTTGGGTATGAGTAGAGAGATCAAGATGCTGCGAGACGAGCGACACGAGGTAGCTGCTAGCATAGGCAAACTGGTGGAACAACTCAAGACAGTAGAGCCGGTTGAGTTTCTCCCTCGGGGAGGCAATGCATGGCAGGAACTCGCTGATGTACGTGAACACCTCCGTGAACACCTCCGTGAACACCTCCGTGAACACTGTAAGGACTGCGAGGAAGAGGGGAGAGAGTCGCGCTAGATGGGGGGGCTTTTGGAGTGCACCGCTTCTTGTGTGGTATCTTTGTGGGCTTTCTGTCAGGTTGAAGGTGTGAGCAACGATGCGGCTCCGATCGAAGGCGGAGCGGTATCGCCATTCAAGGTGCTACAAATGCAGCAGCCTGAGCGTGGTAACTTCCCTTGTGGTACCGGAAGGCATGCTTGCCGCGACAGGTATACAGTCCCAGTTGGACCAGAACACGCCGATGACCCGCCGGACCAACCCGAATACGCCACCAGGATCAGCTCAGCTCCATGGATCCTCACGGGCTCGATAGGCCTCATCTGCCAAGCCATTGACTTCAGTCGTTTCAGGTGACACAACAGGGTTGTATACCGCTTGTGCAGGCAGTTGTTGGTTTCCTAGTTACACTATAGCTGCATCTGGCAGCAGTAGCATTGACCTCAACTCCTTTGATGGCAACGAGAGGGTAACTCGTCCAATATCTGCGTCGTGTTGATGGTCTCTGCCAGGCAAAGCTCGTCTCGATGAATCATTACCCAGCTGACGTCGTGTCCTCACGGTACAGTTCAGCTCGAGTGGTTACTCCTACACACACGGGGGCGCCTTGTGTCAGGGTCGACGTGGCTGTGAATCAATCGCCGTCGCGGACCGCGACACGCGGGATTGTTAATCATGAATGATGCCCTCCGTGATCGATGAGTGTCCAACTGCTTATTACAACTTGTGTTCTCGCATGAAGTAAGCTCTCAGCAAGCCATTACGGGCGAGGAAAGAGCTAGGCGGCTTCACCCTGGTACGGTCTGTTCCTCTCCTGTGAAAGCCCTTGGGTTGCCTCAGCTAAGTAGGCCTGATTTCACTCGGGTGAAGTGGGAGTAGAGGATCGTATTGTCTTGAACCTCGGCTGTTAGTAACGAAATTTAAAGGCAAACAGCGGTATGTAGTCTGTCACCGGTGCTCCAGCGAACGAACTGATCGATGTTACATGTAGAACTCCCCTTTACCGAGCAGGGAAGTGAAACAAGTCGGCGGCCGGCTACGAAACCTTGTGGACTTGGACGCAAAGCCCCCTGTTCAGAGGCGAGTCAATCATGGCCGAAAATCTTTCTCTTGATGGTGTCAATATACCGTCAACGAGTTCTACAACAATGACTGCCCCCGAATGGAGTGTCGTACGCTCCGGGGCCGGGTTCATCCCAATTCCGGTGAGCTTTAACCAGAAGGATTCGCTACCGAATCCAATAGGTTCTCTGAAAACTTGTCGGCGGAGGATCTGATACTTTAGCAGAATACTGCGTCGCGGTATCACCCGTGTCAGCGTCTCGCGGACTATGTACAATCCCTTCCCGTTGTGACTCTTCATGCAATCGACCAGTCACTTGTAAGCTAGTTTTCTCCATGAACTAGAGCAACACTCTGAATCGTTTCGAAGTTCAACGACCTGGGTTCAGTACGATAATGATTTTTCTGCTAGCACTCTAGCTTGAACTCTAGCTGTTCATTCACACAGTATAGTGGTGTGTCATGAAGCATCCTACTCCCTCGATAGACCTACCCCTCATCACATAAACGAGTTTCTTGCTCCTCTTGGTAGTCTTAGACACCAATAACAACACAGCTCATCTTCAATTACGTGAAACAAAAAATCAATCCCCCCTGTGGAGATTACATCACGGGTCAAAAGTGTGAATGTCAGATAATGCCAATAGATGCCTATTTCATCTGAACCACCGGAGGACCTGCGGGACGACTTTCTGCAGGAGGATTCAACCGTGCGGCGATTCTAAAGTGGTCGAACTCTATCATGCGCCTATCGGTCATTGTATCATTGATACCCCAAAAGATCCCCTCTAGCGCCTCGTTAGTGACCTTCAGCTCGAGATACCCCCGAACGTCAGGCCATCTGATAGCTGTGCGCGGCAAGTTATTAAACACGAAATTACCCTCTATCGCGCCAGCACTTCCAGCGAGAACATGAACCGTGCCATCAACAGGATGTGTCCTCTCATAGTAATGCCAATGTCCTGCAACGAACAGATCCACCTGGTGCTCCTTGAGTAGAAGTCCCAAGGCAGGATACATGTGCTCCTCGACAGCTCTTTCGGATGGATCGTAAGCCGATACCAACATGGGACGGTGGGCGGTCACGACGACCCAGGGAGTTACAAGTCTATCGACGCTGGCCAGTTGTTCATCGAGCCACCCCCATTGCTCGCTGCCTTCAGTCCAGTCATGCTCAGAAGAAAGCATGACATAATGAACGAGACCAAACGAGAAGGAGTAATACCAATATGGGAACTGATATCTGTGTCTAGTCGGGACACCACACTCCCCACCAGAGTCCGAACCAAAGTTGCCCCAACAAGGATGCCAGCCTCCACTAGTATGATCAAACTCGTGATTACCAATACTCACCATATAGGGCATCCTCATCGCCACCCCTTCAAGGGCAGTACCAAACAAGTCCCATATACGAGCATACCCCATAGCATAGGACACATCACCAATGTGCACTGCCATCCTCAACCTTGTATTGGACCGCATATGGTCGACTACCCAGTAGGTATCCCACCTTCCGCTAGGAACATCTACTGCATCAGGCCCTCGATAGTAGCCCTGAACCCCCATGTCGCCAAAAAGAGCGACACTGTGGGGCTCATCGGAGCTCGGGGGAACGGGGGCGGTGACTGTGAAGATTTCCGAGCGATGATGAATGCCACCAAAGCGAACACGAATTTCCCCTTCTAATGATGCTGGTAAATCCGCTGTATAGAAGAAGCCAGGATCGTAGTAAGTCTTCGGATCTCCATCCCGATTACACATATCCTCATAGTCGTAGGTTGTAACAGAGGCATGCCTCACAGACCATTCGGAATCGCCAGCAGCCTTGTACTCGACGATCCCCGGGCTCGGATCCCCACTAACCCAATGGACCTTGAGAGCACCGGAGACAGTATTCATGCTGACGTGGCCTTGAGTGGGCTCAAGATGTCTCATACGGAACGTCACTCTCTCCTCGGCCCGACAGAGGCAGTCGCCAGTAGCACCAGAAATGTAGCGGATATCATAGAATGAGGACCTGATGTTCGTCAGAGACAGCGTGTGTTCTGAGGCGCCGATCAAGTGTGGTTTGAACCGCATAACGTAGTCGTGATTCCTTGTAGAACGGAAGGGTGGAGCGAAGAAGCCTATCCAATCCGAATCGTTGGTAGAGGTTGGGGACGACCAGTCCAAATGCAGTGGGTCTCCGCTCCTAGCGAGGACGGTGGGATTGACGCTAATAGTACAATGCGCACCACAAGGTGGAAGAGAGTATTCCGCCACTGATGTCGATACTGGAGAAGGACGGAGCAGCCATATGAGGAAGGTCAGCATCTATGAGCGCATAAAACATGGTTATCAACGGGGCAGAGTTGGATCGACTCTCTGCTAAATCGATACCAATTCGGATTCGTCGACGTAGTGGAGGATGCATTCGAAAGTTTCTTCCTCTTACAGTTGTCCCATAGGTGAGATCAAACGCAGTCTCCCACCAGAGATGTTCCCAATGAAGGAACCCTCCTGACTCTGAGGGTGAGCTTATTGAACAACAAACCCTGTGTGCATCAGACGCGATCTATGGTTTCTATTGTAATGTAATAATAACATGCGGATTCATAACATCTCCTCCTCCTCCTCCTTGGCGGCGGCGGCGGCGGCTTGGGAAGGGATGATGGCCTATGAGCTTTTTACAAGTTCATAGTTACAACTTCTGGAGACCTATTTCACACTGAGGGATATCAATATCGCCGAGTGGGGCAACTATGCCATCCCAAGATATGCCTCAATACAATCAATTCCCTCGCCCGGGGCAACTATGCCACCCCAAGATATGCCTCAATACAATCAATTTACCCGGCTGGGGCAACTACGCCACCCCAAGATATGCCTCAATACAATCAATTTACCCGGCTGGGGCAACTATGCCACCCCAAGATATGCCTCAATACAATCAATTTACCCGGCTGGGGCAACTATGCCACCCCAAAATATGCCTCAATACAATCAATTTACCCGGCTGGGGCAACTATGCCACCCCAAGATATGCCTCAATACAATCAATTTACCCGGCCGGGGCAACTATGCCACCCCAAGATATGCCTCAATACAATCAATTTACCCGGCTGGGGCAACTATGCCACCCCAAGATATGCCTCAATACAATCAATTTACCCGCCCGGGGCAACTATGCCACCCCAAGATATGCCTCAATACAATCAATTTACCCGGCTGGGGCAACTACGCCACCCCAAGATATGCCTCAATACAATCAATTTACCCGCCCGGGGCAACTATGCCACCCCAAGATATGCCTCAATACAATCAATTTACCCGCCCGGGGCAACTATGCCACCCCAAGATATGCCTCAATACAATCAATTTACCCGGCTGGGGCAACTACGCCACACCAAGATCAGCGAATTAGTTTCGGAGGAGTTTAAGGTGTGATTATCAGTTGCATTGGCCCAAGCGGAATAACTCCAGTCGAAGAGAGACGTATGAGGCAACTTGACGCTGATAAGGTTTATTCCATTTCAACCCAAGGCAGTTACGTTGTCAACTCAGTACCAACCGGTCTCTATTGCCCAACACAATGATAGCCCATTAGATTGCTACGCCCAGAGTGATGAGATGTTCTTCTGACAATGGAGAAAATCACGCTGGAAACCAGGGATGGTACATCCGTCTATAGTAAAGTTGTTCATCGCATTTATATTCGGAATTGAAGCTACTTAGGGCCTGTAAATGTGAGATTAATTGATGATCAATTATTGATCTCGATCTCCCATACCGCGAGGTTGATTACATTGAAGATAGCTACCTTCCTAGGTAGCTAGGGGCGCAGATAGGACCCGTTGAAATCCCGGATTAAGTAGCATGGAACTGGAGGACGCTGTCGACGACATGTCGTCACGCGCCAGTGTACTCCCATACGATCGCCAAATTTGCACGAACTGCGTGGGTACACAAATTGTCTAACTGCAAGAAGTGCAAGAAAACGTGATGAAATTACGCACGATGTAGGTTTAGGAATGCGTTGAAAAGAGTAGAACTGTAGTGTTGGGAGGCGTTTAGGATAAATAAGTAGGAAGTAGCGTATTAGAGGGGCATATGCTGAAAATGGGGTAGCATGTAGTTAAAATTTGTGGAAGAAATTTGAGAATGTGAAATATTAACGCACGATTATATCCACCTAGCTTAAAAGTATTAATATGCGTGCTAGTGAAACGACGCCTCGCCACGCACAATTCTTGCGGCGATATGAACTTGCGTAGTTTGTTCTTCCGTGTTTGGCCTTCCTCCCTACTAGCATGCCAGCATTACTGACATTCTCTAGCATCCGATTGGCTCCGCCATTACTACCATTATTGCCACCTCTCATCAAAGTTGGACAAATGATAGCCCCAGTAGTAATCCTCTCAGTATCCGTCCAAAAATGTGAGCTCTCATATACATCTTGACCATTGAGTAGCTAAACCAACTTGTTTGCTACCAGAGAGCTAATACGAAAATGGCCACTTCGTGTTCAACCTCACGTCCATGTCGAGATTCTGGTAGTCATATGGAGTTTGCTCTCCCTCGTTTGCAGTTCCTGGCCAAGATTGCTGCTAAAGGGGCTCTGGGAAAATACATTATAGCGTCTAAAACTAAGATATTAATAGGATCTAAATGGACAGCCAAAGCATTGCCCCTAGCCCGAGCGTAACGGGAGCTCACGGGAACTGTATACACTAGGAGCGCCTATATGGCAGTTACTCAATCAAACAGAAGGCTAATGGGAATCGCCATGAAGAATATCACTTTTGGATTTTCGACAAGTCGGTGGCGATTTTGTCGGTACTCACGGCTAGCTTGACGACTCTGATTATACTAGGCAGTCTCGAGAGGAATCCCTTTAATGAGAGGTAGCATTATCAATTTTATCTACGACTTCTGCGCGACTGTTGTTCCTATGTGAAATTATCGAAGTTTACAGTGTTCGCTTTCTTCACCTGAGCCCAGGGGTTCCTCACTGACTATAGAAATCTACATACGAGATCGGATACAGGTGTGATCAAAAACCAACAAGAATTCCCCAAAATTTTCTCAGAATTTTCATACTGTCTCCAACATAATTTCCCAAACTGGAAGTTCATGCAATGCAGCATTCTCAGATGGCGCCTCCTCCATCTGTCAATCACAGAGGAGCGGGAACTCGGCGAGAAAGCCGCTGAAGAAATACTCGAGCAATGCCTCGCAAACGACGTAGACCGACGCACTCGCGTTCAAGTGGCATTAGATGTACATCAGGCGCGCGCTGTGCTTGCATCTGACCATCCATTGACTCGAGAAGTTGTTCGCATAGTGGAGTCGCTGAACAGAGAACTGCCTCAGCTACTAGACGATTATTTGAAAAGGTGAGTCGTAATAATTTCAACGAGTCTTGGAGGAATATATGTTCGCTTCCCTCAGCTGAGTTCGTGCTTTTTCACAAGAACTGTAGTTCAAGTTTATATACGAATTCGGGTAGAAGTGCAAAGATTTCCCAAATCCATATTGTCACCCACACATGCAGTTGACCATGTGCATATTTCCCCCCCACACTGATCTCAACGCTCCTATTTGGTTTGCTATTGGTCAGCTCGGGAGCCTCGCCTCACACGTGGGAGGAGAGTAAAGAGCTCATTCCGCACTGGAAAGTGAGAAGCATACGAACTGCGGTGTATAGGAGGTCCCTGAAGGTGCATCTCATTCTCTCTGACACTTGCAATGCCACCTGCCTCCCCAGTGGTGATATCTTCATTTACGCTGGTTGCATCGCACGGTAGATGTTGATCGATGAATAGTAATGAGAAACACGATGTTAGTTGTGGCACCCGAGATCGTCTAGCAGCCATAATAGCACATGAGATTGCCCATGTTATCAGCCGTCACGGTAGGCTACACTGTAGATTATCCTCACCGTATAATGAGCTCAGGTGCAGAACAGATCAGTGCTGCTGCTATTATGGACGTCCCTCTAGGGTGGGTCATCCTTAGGTTACCTCCTGTCAGTGTAGTAGAATATGCACATGGTCAACTACACGTGTTAGTACCAATGAGGAAATTTGAACAAATTCTTATTGGTTTCTGTACATCGCTACCCGAATTCGTGGGGGAACTTCTATGGTTAGTGAAGAAAAAATTCCCGAGCTCGGCTGAGGAAAGCGAACGGATATTCCAACACTTCCTCCTATACGTCCTATTCAAAGGTACTTCTCCTCATTCGCGACGCTCTCCATGACAGCCTTTGGTATTTTCCGATACCTCTTAATGTGGCACCGACCTCCCACTAGCTGGATCGTTGATTTACCGTAAACTCCTAGGGTCGTCCGAGCCGCTCTCAATCACACTTTAGATATTCAAGACACTGCGAACACGAAGCAGACGTGCTGGGCATGGAACTGATGAGCCGGGCTGGATACGATCCTCGGGCCGCTGTAAGTGAGTATGTATGAACTTGTGTTGGAGTTGGAATATATGCTCGCTTTCCTCGACACAGCTCAGGAGTTTCCAAAGCTAATTATAGAAATTTATATACGAATGATGGTATAAATGTGCAGAAATGAATAAGAATTTTACCAAAATTTCCCCGGAATTTCCATATTGTCACCAACACATGTAGTTGAGCTTATGCATATTGGTGGAAACACTATTAGAATGTCATGGCCGTATGCACTCGATTCAAGATAGCATATGAGAGAGTATGCACATGGTCAACTACATGTGTTGGTGACGCTATGAAAATTTTGAGGAATTCCTGGTCGGTTATGTACACTTCTACCCTGATTCGTATATGAACTCCTATGATTAGTGAGGGAATCCCTGAGCTCAGTTGAGGAAAGCGATTATATATTCCTCCAACACTGGTTTGAGGATAACCGTTTCCACCAGATCGGTTCCCAAGCAGTTCTGGCAGCAGTTGAGTCTGTCGGTAACAAACCATCGTGGGCGCGAACGCATCCTCCATCCGAAGAGCGCGCGTCAATTCTCCGAGCTAACTTACCACACTGTCTGCAACTCTACGCGGCAAACGCTGCGAAAGAAATTTATTACGAAGCCGCACTGGCCGTTGATGAGAAGTCATTTGCAAATCGTATCAAAACACTATTTTTCGGTACTGCAGATCCGCGGCGACGCCGTCTACAAGGTGAGTGTGTGTGACAGACTTCGGGACAAGTTTGCATATTTTTTCAGACACGGTCGAGCATTGGTCCCGCGTTTTGCGTGAAGACATAGCACGTCGTTATTGGGATGAATCAGTGCGGATTGATGATGCAGTGACACCGCGATTTTCTGATCATTTACGAAAACTTCTTTCTGATGTGTAGCACGTTTCTACTCTATTCCTCTTTGGTTGGAATAGTAACCTCCTCAATGTACTGTAATTCATACTATATGAAAAGTACTGCAAATTCAATCAAATCGGTAGTAAGGTGATGGTGTCACCAATCACCACGTAGTAAATCCTGGATGTAATGGCAATCACTCGAAATGGAGGATGCTGTTTCTCGGGTTATGTAACCCCGCGGACGTATTTTGGTATTTTCTCGTCTCTATTTGATGTTTGTACTTTGGATAAACTATATATACTCAGTCGTCGTCCCCAAAAGTCCCATCAACTGAAGCTCAACTCGATCGAGTGCCTTCACACTCTAGGTTTCTTGAAACACTCGTAAGCCAATCAATTCCAAGAGGTCGTCGGTAGCAAGCCTCTTAATCTCGCCCCCAACTGTAATCGCTGTACAGCGTCCGATGCCTTCTTAACCATAGGGAATGCAAAGCTCAGCTCCAGGAGATCTGATCGAACCAGTGACGCACAGACGCCAGAATGGAGGAAACAACAGTGTTGGAATAAATTTTCGCTTTCCTCAGCTGAGTACAGAAGTTTCCTCATTAATTATAGAAGTTTTCAAATAAATTCGGGTAGAAGTTAACATAAACCGATGAAAATTCCACAATTTTCCTCAGAGTTTCACGTGTATATTTTCTCACGCCGGGCAACACTTACTCGTCCCCAGGAAGGGCAACGACAAACCAACACCAGCTGATGCACGAAGGCCATCCTTGAGATCTCCAAAGAGGCGCTGAGATGAAGCAATTAAACAGATGGTTAAACGCAGCATGAGGTTACCTCTCTGTTCAGCTGAGGCTTCTCAACAAGGCAGCCAGCTTGGGCGAAGGCGAAGGCTCTCATGTGGATTGAAAGCGTCCCTCCGTCACGGTCATCATCGAACTAAGCCAAAGTGGATCTTACAGCTCCTACGTCGTACGAGCTCCTACTTCGTCGTCATAGTCACTGGGAGGCTCAGTATCATCACTAGAAGTTCTCAGATTGTTGAGGAATGTTATTGGCATCGACCCTTGCACGTGTGCGCTCAACAACATATCCCCACCGGTGTAGTCGTATCTAGAAGTGTGGGGGAAGTATGCACATGGTCAACTACACGGGTTGATGACAATATTAAAAATTGAAGAAATTTCGGAAAATTTCGTGTAATTTTTCCACAGTTCTACCCAGAGTAGACTCCTATGATTTAGTGAGAGAACTCCTGAGCTCAGCTGTGAAGGCCAAACTTGCATCCAAACGCGGCGTACGATGGAGTTTCGCAGCCCGTTTCGCGTTAAGTGGCATAATACTCAGTGAAAACCCGATATTTGCGATATATGCAGTAGTCGTGAAATATATTTTTCATATCGCGGTCTGTGAAACTTCAATCAACATGCGAGGCTTACGTAGGATCAGCACCAGGAGCTCCTCCGACCCTCGGCGCTGCCGGGCCCGCTGAACGATATCGGAACCCTCGCAAACCCGATATGGGGTCAACCGCTCCACCGCCGAGGAAAAACCTAAAGTGATGCTGATGAGGTCATGTGAGGAGGAGCATTCAAGTCTGACCGATCCTGTAGTGGTGTGACGGAGGCTACGCCGGCTTGGGTAGGGGGGTGTACTATGAGGCCTCCGGATACCTACTTCAAAAAGATAATACTCAATCGACTTATGTTACATCCACTGCGTATGCTCTAAGTCGCGTTAATACAAGTGTATCGAAAACGGGTTACCATTCGCGGCCCAACTTTTCTTGGATTCCACGTTGAGACCTCGCAGATGCCCATGTGAAAATATATACAACAATTCCGCACATATTTTCATAGAATTTGGCAATTTCTATTCGAAAATATAAACCATACGTTAACCTCATATAAAAGACCTCAGTCGAATTCACAGCGTCCCATATCACCCCAGCCTCCCATGTCCAGTCCCGAGCCCTCCACAGATACCCATGATACTCCGACAGAGCCGCCAACTTAAGGAAGCTCACATCACCTGATCACAATTTCCTCCATACCTCCATCACTACCATTCTAGTACTACCAAACACCCCTGGTGTGAGGTCAGCGTATGCGTGCAGTAGTGAGCCCCCAACAGCGTGGCTACTGCCCTCCTCTGCTTCGTCGAATCGTAAATCATCCCGAGTATAGGCGTATTTACAACTACTTTTCATAGTGCCTACCAACGACGAGGAAAATATGCATACGAGGACATTTGTGACAAAAGCGATATTCGCGGTGATATGCAGTAGTCGTGAAATATATTTTTCACTAGTGCTTTTCACCTCACAGGAGAAACTACAATGTTGGAAGAATATATGTTCACTCTCCTCAGCTGAGCTCGGGAGTTTTCTCATGTAACAAAGCGTTCATCCGATCTCGCGTACAAATATCCGGAAAACAGTAATAATTCCCTAAAAAAATTTCCCCCTTGGTCGCCGAAAAATGTAGTTGAGCATGCACATACTTTCCCACCACATTACGCAATGGAAGCCTCCTAACCGCATAAGACGCCGACGTCTTCTTCTCCCCTTCCGCGCCACCCTGTCGAGCCGGTTGAATCTCCGGGAGTAGATCCCTCAACGTAGAACTAAGTGTGAACGTGTGGCGTCCAGTGGCCCGATCTGTGAACACAGCTGCGAGACCAGTGGCAATGCCTCTGCAACTCGAATAGCCTCGGAGGTCTGTAGTATCTCTCGAGGCTTCCACTTCGAGTTCCCAACCTTCCGAGGCGGGTGTAATACCAACTCCTCTCAGCTGAGGAAAAAATATCTCAAAAATTTCCCGAAAATTTCTCACCTTGGGAATGTTGACAGTCGCATTCAACATTTGTGATCCCGGCCACGCCTTGTTGTAGCGGAGCGATACCGAGCTGAGGCCTCCAAAAATATATGGTATATTCATACTCATATCTAAAAAGGTGTGGGGAAATATAAATGCATTCAACGACATGTGTAGGTGAAATTTGTGGAAATTTTGAGGAAAATTGGGGAAATTCTCAATGGGGAGTTCAACTGTACACTTCTACCCGAATTCGTATGCAAATTTCTGGAGCTACTGCACTCAGCTGAGACCAGAGTGCATAAATTCAAACACTGTTTAGAATTCCCTATTACCAGCTCCAGGCTCTCCCAAGCGATTCATGTCTACTCCTGCTTCGTAGTTGCGCTGTTTTTCAACTACTTCCAAAGTGACATCAGCGCTGCCCGGTGGGGACTGCGAGAGATAAAGTGTGTGATAACTTGTGATTGAGGGCTTACTCCGGGCATGTGGTCAACTGTGGCACGGATATCCTCAAAAGCATTGAGTTCCTCCAAATCTCTAATGGTCCTATTCAATGTATCATGGAGTTCTCCATAGGTATCACACATTCTAAGTGGCCCTATGAACCTGAATTCGAGGTGTTGGGCGGAATATGGTAAGTCTACTACTACTACTACTACTACTACTACTACTACTACTACTACTACTACTACTACTACTACTACTACTACTACTACTACTACTACTACTACTAGTACTACTACTACTACTACTACTAGTACTAGTACTAGTACTAGTACTACTACTACTACTACTACTACTACTACTACTACTACTACTACTACTACTACTACTACTACTACTACTACTACTACTACTACTACTACTACTACTACTACTACTACTAGTACTACTACTACTACTACTACTAGTACTAGTACTACTACTACTACTACTACTACTACTACTACTACTACTACTACTACTACTACTACTACTACTACTAGTACTAGTACTAGTACTACTACTACTACTACTACTACTACTACTACTACTACTACTACTACTACTACTACTACTACTACTACTAGTGCTACTTTTCAAGTAAGGCTTCATTCAATCTCCGCCTCCCCTTGACATGAACTCTGACCTCAGGAGTCCGCTCATCCTGCACACGGTGTATCTCCGGGGGCATCTCAGTGGTATCATCCCCTGCTCCTGTTGGCGTTGGTGTTGGCTCCTCTTCTACTACTTTAGACATTGATGCTGGTGGAACAACAAGAACGCTGACTGATTTCAACTATGACCTTCTGAGGATGCGACAAGTAGACTGAAAATGAACCAAATATTACATCCTTGCGCGAATACAATCAATACTGTTTAACCAAGATTCGCGATGCAGCACCGAGTGATATAAGCCCCGCTGCACGTCCTCAAATGAAGGTAAGCGGCGATCCTCACCCCTACTTACCTGAGCTCATGCATAACCATTTTATCAAAACATGGGTATTGTAGCGAACAACAGTGACGACTACGATACAGTCTACTACGACATACCATTATGTGGGGATATGCGCCAATACAATTTTACTGTTTCTCATGTCGATACCATAGAGAACTCATCTGACCAGTCGCACTGGGCAGAACTAGGCAGTTGCTTCTGCAGATCTACACAGCAGTGGTGGTGGTGGCGTTAAATGCATCGTGCCAGCAGACACGTGCCGATCGAAAACTCCCCCGGACGATTCTCGTTGTTTATCATTCTCGCACTTGTTTTTCACGCAGTTGAATGTAGTGCATCTGTAGGGCGTCAGTTCGAATCGAGGCGATGCCACTTTTTTCTCAATGCAAAACACAACTCCTTACTCGCATCAACGACGTGATGTTGACATACATGAATTTCATATTCACTCGCTTTCCTCCTGGTCTCTGTTCAAACTCTGCCGTCGTATCTATACAGAGATTACTCCATCATCAGAGTGATAATCCATCACCTTTTTCCGCACAGCAATCTTCCCCATGAAAGAACTCTCGAACAGCTCCTCAGTAGACTTGACAAGTTCTCCTGTAGTAGTTATATACAATTCCAGAAGGGGTGTAGTAGCGAGCTGCAATGGACTCAACAACGCAGTCGCCTCTGCCAAGACCCCAGGCTCATGCTCTGCTATCCAACGCTGTATCCTATATAGGACATCCACTAGCCGTGTAGAGGAGTCGATACCAATAGGCCCGACTGGTATCTACCACACTGAGCAGTGTGTAAAAATATTCGCATGCTCACCAACATGTGTTGGTACCTATATGAAAATTCTGAGGAAATTTCGGCAAATTCTTGTTGGTTTTTGAGCATTTCTAACCGAAATCATGTGCAAACTCCTATAGTAGGCGAGGAAACTACTGAGCTCAGCTGAGGGAAGCGAGCATATATTACAACACTGACACTGAGTGAAACGACTTGTTCAAACGCTGCTCATTACCTTCTCCCCTTCCACGTGTTGGGGGTCAAGCATAAACACCCGCAATAGGGCCGCCTCGGGCGTCTGTGGGGCCGATCTCGAGTTCGCCAACTTCCTCGAACAGCTCGACAACTTGTCGTGTATAAGACGAGTAGTGACCTCTACTGCGACTGTATGCATATGAAGATCTTCAGCAACGACAGGGATTATCGATTGAAGTAACAACTGCATAGAATACAACTAACGAGACGGGAGGAAAAATGCAGCGCTCACCTGCTCAGCTGCGTTGAGTAGCAGATTATCAAATCTACCGATCGCGTTGAGTTCGGCTAAGGTCTCGGCAATAACCCTTTCGGAAAATCTACAGTCGAAATAATAAAAACCATAACCAGTGTGGGAGAGGGTGTTGGTGGTGATATGGAAATTTTGGGGGGAAATTTTGCAAGATTCTTGTTAGTTTCTAAACTAGTTCATGAGTAGTGAGGAAACTAACGTGATCAGCTGAGGACTGCGAACATATATCACAACAGCACTTTTCGTAATTACTACTTGTTGGCAAACCGTCCAATTTCGATTTTCCTCTCGAGCAGCTGCCTTGCTCTGACCTTCGCATCAGCCTCTCTGATGAGCTCCTGAGTTCGTTCATTTCGTTCCACTTCGATCGCCTCGAGCCGTTCGTATCTGCTACACTACCCTACGGCACCGTCCATACCGTAATTTCCTCACTTCTCCCGCTCAGCTTTCTGCCTCTCATGCCACCTCTGCTGGAAGTCTGCAATGGCCACTTGTTCCTGAATTCCACCAGAGTTGTGATATCTCGAGTGAGCGATGATACTATTGTTCATGTATGATAACGCCGTCAAAGAAGACTTTTCACAACAGTTCCTTTCGGAGCGTGCCTACTGCCCACTCCTACTAGTACTACCTCTTCTTCCCGCACTTCCTCCAATGCCTGTTGCATCGTCTTATTAACTATAACATCAATTATCTCTCTCTGGACCTCCTGGCCGTCGAAGTCATATACATATTTCTCGTCAACTTGCGTCACGTTATCCATCCCAGTTCGCATGGGAGGAAGCGTCGGTCTGAAGTAGTAGTAGTAGTAAACCCTATACCTCGAAGTGCTCAGCTACTCGCGTTCATAAAACGGCTCGAACTCTTCAAACTCGTCAATTTCCGTACCAATAGACTTGCCCTGCTTCACGACTACTTCCTGAAAACCCCACAACGCTACAGGCGGCCATCAACGATCGTTTTAACACTTTTTCAATCAGATTTTCTTCGAATCCAACAGTACTACTGCTGCTGCTTTTCTCACTGCTGTCCTCCTTTGCAAGGAACTCGCCAGTAGCCACTTTTTCGAAGACCTCCTTCAACCGTCTCCTCATCGACTTCGCAGGCCGCATCGGTGAAAGCCTCGCTACTCCCACAGTAGAGCGGGTGTCAGCACTAACCCTCTTCTGGTGCTCTATTCTCCGCCTCGTAAAGTAGCCAACGTTGGAGCCTCGAACTACCCGGGGGTCCACAGGGCCTCGCCCACTCGCGCTGGTACTGCCAATCGTCATTATAAACTGACCGGGATCCAAAGCAGTGCTGGAATATACTTTTGTTTTCCCTCAGCTAAGCTCAGGAGTTTTACAAGTAAATAATACGACTTTATATACAAATTCGGACAGGAGTGTACAGAAACCAATGAGAATTCCAGCGGAGGAAATCTCGGCGATCGAGAACTCCTCCGTTTGATGCTAATATGTACAGTGTGTTGCCAGCCTCAGCAAACAACCGCCTCGAAGTCGCCGACAGCCGAAGCGAATCACGAACCTAATTTACAGGTTTCGTGTTGTGCCTTTCGGCCACTCCCCCTCCCGAACTCGCCGATCACAGGTGTCACCAAAGCCCCCCTCACAAATTTCACATTCTCACCAACACACATACTTGACCATGTGCGTATTCTCTCACTTTGTGATTAACATAATCAACAACCTCCAAGTGGAAACTGTCATCATTCAAAACGTCTCGATGCTCAATGGTAATGTTATAGTCACAATAGGAGCAATACGAAAATGCAAATTTCGTCTAGCGGAGCGAAGCAAATATACCAGAAAATCCATCTTTACGTACATGAGCAATCAACCCTTTCAGTCAATACTACTCGACGACTCACTATCGCTATTCGAAGCACTACTGCTACTAGAAGATGACGATACAGACTCCTCCTCTCCTCCTTGTGGGAACTCCTCCAACTGGTGTTGATCCTCAGCTACCCTCTGCTGGTGTTCTCTCTTCACATCAGCAGCTATACCCCCATCATTATCAACCTCCTCCTCCTCTTCTTCCTCCTCATCATCGACATCAGAAGCTCTGATATCCTCATCCCCCGATTCAAGATAGTCACCATCGCCTTCTACACTACCCTCAGAGGATGAGGAAGAAGAAGAAGATGATGCCATAGAACTCCCTAGAGCTGCCTCCGACTCAACACTTCTCGTCGGGGCCCTCTGCGTTCGCACTCTACTACTCTTCCTCAGCCCATTAGATAACGTACGACTACCCAATGCCTCAACTGATGCCACTGCCTCTCCCATGGTGGCCTGCTGTTCCTGATGGACGTGGCGACGCGCAAGGCGGGCTTCCCTAAAGCAGTGTTGAAGTAGGAATATATGTTCGCTTTACTCAGCTCAGCTCAGGAGTTCTCTCAACAGTTATTGGAATTCACATACGAATTCGGGTAGAAGTGTACAGAAACCAATGGGAATCTCCCTAAATTTCCTCCCAATTTTCACATTATCACCAACACATGTGGTTGACCATATGCATATTCTACCAGACTGTGGCTTGAAACAGTAGTTTGAGTGATAATCAAAATCTAAGTCACTCACCGGCTAAGATTCTGCGACTCCCTCCTCGCACTCCTTGACCTTCCACCCGACACGTGATCCTCTTCATCATCATCTTCTACCTCCTCAGGATGTTCACTACGTTTCAGCGCTCGGTTGATCTGCTGGTCAAAGGCCTGACAAAAAACACCCTCACCAGGGTTCGAACCCACGCCCCTCCGATTCAAAAAATCGCACAGCGCCGCCTACCACTCCGACAACCAAGACCCTAGATTCACCTTCGATGTATAATCAACCCTCTTCCTCTCCCTCCTCCCCGGCGCTTGAGCCAATGCCTCTGCATATCTCGCGGCCGCCATTGCTTCCTGCTTCTCCTTCATCGCCAATCTCCTCCCCCTCCTCTCAGCCGCTTTAACCTCCTGATCGACGTGCTCAGCCAAGTCCTTCAAATTCCGCGCCAGAACCAACTGGTGACAATTCAAACAGCGTATCGGCCCTGATGTGCCCGTCAGAGGCCCCGAAGCAATCTGAGAGTTCACAAAGGAGTGGTATGACAACTTCTGCAGCAATAACCATACCATATCTTCCTGAACTCTCTGAGGTTGACCTCCACACCCATACGAGCGTACACATCCTGCATGCATTAACCCATCACATTGCGGACAGTGCATAGGCGCCGCCTGACTCTGCTCCTTAGCTTTATTCGAAGACCGCTGCTTCGAATACTTACCTTCTGCAACTTCTTCACCTACAATTCTTTTTCACTGTAATTTGACACAACCAGCCAAGCACTACCACAAACAACACAAAGATTCACTTGTCCATCATCATCCCTTTTCCTCTTCTTAGCACCTCCACCCTCCCGATGCCGATTCAGCTTTATATCAGTAACCTTTCTATTCAGCTCTGATTTAATTCTCAGAATCTCATCCTCCAAGGACCCAGCTATAGCCGGCAGTAGAGCTCCCTCCCAAACTGCCAACTCCACTTCCCCGTTGCGGTCTTCCTTCCACACCCTTAGGCCCATCTCACTGTCCCTCACACACCACCACCTGACAGCGTCAGTCTGGTAAAATACGCACATGGTTAATGACAATATTGAAATTCTGACAACATTTTAGAAGACCCAACCAGGTTCCTATATGAACTCCCATAATTAGTGAGAAAATTATAAATCTCAGTTGAGGAAAACTGAGCATATTTATTCCCACACCGACAATCTCATTGCCGATCACTTACCACGCCTGATATGACATTCGCTCTAATGAAACGGTCTACCAACCACTCTACGCTACTATGAGGAAAATGAGGGTATAAAAGCATACACATGGTCAACTACCTGTGTCGACCACTACAAGAAAATCGAGAAATATTCATGGAAATAATTCTACTCCATTTCTACACTCCTACCCCAAATCCTATAAAAATTCTCATAACGTAATCCCTAAATTCAGCCGAGAAGATTGACTCTCTATTCTCAAACTATACAATTCTCCTGTGCCATTCGAACCCGTCTTCCTCGCCATCACTACCTCCTGCCCTTCACATCAAAGCCAACTACCCTGCCAGCTTCCCTCTGCCCTCTCAGCGGCATATACGTCGAGATCGCCGTCGTTGACTCCACTGCATCAGTGTCAGCCGAGGACGCCACGAGGCAGCCCGGAATGTTGAATAGTAGCCCAAATACAAAGCGTATCTTAGGTCCAACCATGCAAGATTCAAATTAGGTCCGAATACCATCCTTACTATCCTCATTCGTTCCAATATGTTCCTCTGTGACCACATCACAAGCTGCTGAGGATCGTCAACCACCAGGCGCCCTTCTTCATCCGTAGGAAACTCCACACCAGCGACCGGTCGTATTCCCGCTAAGACTTCAGATTCAAAACCGTTCTCGAGGAAGAGCTTTCCGATCATTCGTTCAATCCGAGTAGATACCTCCACGTCCGTAGTAGTAGCCGCTGGATCTGTCATGATATCCATACCACTCCTTCTCCACTTCACAGCAGAACAGCTACTACATATAACTGGTTTGCCTAGAGGATGCAAACACTTTAGTAGAATGTCCTTAACAAAGCCCTTCTATAATTTGCGAGTTGTAGAGGTCTTTGAAGAACCCCATGAAGCTCCACTGCGACAAAGGCAACTAACAGAACACGCTGAACTCAACCCAAAATCCGACATCATCACCAACACCTACTACTACCACTACTACCTTCAGTCCTCTGCCAAATTCCGATATGAACATACACAAATACATAAAGTCCGTGCTGTACCAACACGCATCTCCAATTCTCCTTGCTGAGATCTCCTATATCCCTCGGG